GGCCGGCCTGCCGGGTCACTAGCAGATCAGAAGCTAGTTCATCCTCCTTGAGACAAGTCCTTCTTTGCACATTCAGGGATCTTCCAGATAAACTCAGCCTCTAGCGACCGTAAAGAGAACCGAGTGCTCCTGCCCGCAGCGGCTGGATTGTCCTGAAACGCCTCCAGACTGACTCCTCCGGAGAACAGCTCTGTGCTCCTGCCCCATGCAGGACAGGCACCCGTCAGCGGATTGTGCCTGTGGCGTAATTTAATTTTAAAGCTTTTTGACCTTGTGAGCCGGGCAGCGTGGCTTTAATCCCTTTAGGCTGGATTCTGCAGGCTGACGCTCGGGCGGCTCCCCGGCCTCCAGCTCTCCTCTCTTCAGGTGCAGGGGCTGCCTCCCTGCTCTCTGCTCGCCGGAGAGCCGGCAGCGCGCGTGCTCGGTTCTCCCTCAGGGTGTTAATGTTCACAGGGAGCCTCTTCTGCTCGCCTTGTGCTCCTCTGGGAAACGCGGCAGGCGAGCGAGCCCGCTCCCTCCTCCCTCAGCTGCTGCCACGAATTCAGGAGTCACGGTTCCAGCCGCTACCTTCCCGCGCCTCCCCACCACCACCTCTCTGTTCCTTCTTCCCGCTTCCAAATCGCACCGCTTCCTATCCAGCCAGGCGGCCTCCATCCTGCAGATATCCCAGGATTTGGGCTGGGAAGGAACTGCAGCTGCCGGGCTTGCCGAAGGCTTTAGTGCTCGAGATCCTTGCCTGCTCTTTCGGGCAAAACCGTAGACATCGGCGCGACTAGGGGATGCTTCTAGGGAAATTCTCCAAACGGGAAACAAGTTTGGCTAGCTAACGCTATTTTAAACGTTACTATTTTGGAAACGGTTCCTACCCGAGCTTTGTGGTATAACTTATTCTGTTGTTATATACCAAAGAGGTTTGCTGTTTTCTTGAGTTTTATGTTACTCTTCCTCGCTGGAATGGAAATGAGTTGCCTGTCAGTTCACGCTTTGGGCTTGCGGTGCTCCTTGGCGAGGGTGCTGTGGTACAGCTCAGGAAAGGAAGCACTGACGGAAATTGCTTCGGATTGGGTTTGGTTTGGGGTTTTTTTAATAAAAAAGGAGAAAAAATATTGCCGACTTCTGTCTGGTGGTTATTTGGACATCTTTTGAGGTCCCGGGGACATCAGCAAAACTGGAGTCCTTCTGTAATTCCCAGTGGGAAAGAGCAAACGTGAAAATACAGCAGGTGGGTAGTGCCGATGTCTCTGTGTCGTCACTTGTAGGCTGCTGCTCAGGCTCTGCTGTGCCTTCAACACACATCGTCACACCGGCTGTGACCGGCTGTTTTAGCCACCACGCCCCAGGTGAGTGAATCATTAACTTGTTTTTTGTAGGTGTTAACTTCTGCTGTGGGCTTGCACAGGTGCCCTTAGAAACAACCGAAGGGATTGTCACGTGGGTTTGACGTGAGCTGATGGTAACTGAGCTTTATTCTCGAGTTAATTCTTTCCAGTAAATGCCCTTTGATTGTAATTTGCGAGAGGTGCCGGTGTTACCTCTGACCCCGGTTCAGCTGCGCCCGGATGCGTTGGTACCAAAAGCAAGGGATGAACTTCACCTTGAGCACTTCAGAGCCCTCTTGTGCTTTTGAGACCAGCAGCCTCACTTAACCTTTTATTTCCCCAAATGCTCTGACCCGGAACTTGGTGAGGAGACAGGAGCCCACCAGGCATGGGGACGGTGTCCGGATCTTTGGTGCAAAGCTGGAGCCCAGCCCTGCCCTCGTGTGCTGCGGCCGCCGTTTTAACCAGCACGGACACACGAGGAGCAGAGCAGCTCTTCCCAGCGCCCTGCCCGCGGTTCTGCCCCCACTGCCTGTCGGGGGGTCGCAGGATGCTCCAGGACCCTGCGGTGAGCTCCTGGCTCTGCCCTGGTCCAGGGGTTTTTGGGTTTTCCCCCACGTTTGCAAACTGTGGTTTGAAACGCGGCCGGACGCCCCAAGCTGCCTGTCCCGGTTTGTCCAGAGCCGCAGAACCGGGCAGACACGTGCACTTGCGCCCTTTTATTTCACTTCTAACGCACGACAGGGAGAATATAAAGACAGTTATTTTTTCAGACAAAGTCGCCCTGAGGCAGGTTCGATGTGCTGCAGGCGCTGGGTGCCGGGGCTGTTTTCCTGCCTTTCCTCATGGCACAGGGCAAGAGGAGCTGGTCGACACCGTGGCGCAGCTTTTGTGCCGCAAGCACCGAGCAGCACCGTGTGCTGGTGTCGGGCTCTACGGCGCGG